GCATCTAAAATGTCTATGGCTATTAATCTAATTAAACTAATTTAATTTAATCTAACCTACGATAGTAGTGTATAGTACTATAAATATAGTGTATTATAATGTATAATACCTATTATGTATATGTATAAGCATTACCTATTTATTAAAACAAAATTTTATTTTGTAAAAAGTAATTTATTTTGAGCTTTCAATGAATTTAATAAGTTGAAATCGTTACGAAAACATTTATTTGTTTCCCTGATTACAAATAACTTTCCTYATTCGATGTAAAATATGTATGCAATCGACTAATTGGAGAAACACCTAATATTTATACAGTAAAATCAATATATTGTTGCTGAAACCTAACCGTGAATAATCCTCAGTATTTATACTTAGTAAGTCTATGTATAATTATATATAAAATAGTAACTTAAATAAATAATATCAAATTCTACRATTTCGTAACTMAAATATTTTCTTAAAATTTGGTCTTTTGCAACAGCAATAAAAACAATRCATACCTTAATACGAAATATATAAAACAATAAACAACCGACATGKATTGTGTCAGCATAAAAATTGCTCATAGACATCTACGAAAMAACACAATGCAATATGTTCGTTACGTCGCCAACCATTATATATAAAKAATATGTATAATATTAAATATTATTATTATACCATTATACCATTTATAGTACAACTGCTTCATTGAAAATTCAAAATCGARTTGGGCGCGTGAAAATATCACACAAATGCTTGGATACTGGTTAATTATGTGAGGTTATATTTTAAACTTGTTTATTGTTCTAACTATTTATTCTTTTGTTAAATAGATGTAGTATTTATCCAAGTACTATGGGTAGACATTATGGACATTATCGTTTTTTTTTTAACTGGCAAATATTCATATCGTCTAAAATTATTTATTCGAAAATAATAATATTCAAAACAATATTTTTTTATGATTAAATAATATGTCCTTAATAGTCCTTCAAATAATATATTAGTTTAGATCCTAACGGAGTAATTATAATAAAACAGAGATAAAGTAATTTATAATTCAAATACATTTAGTGATGTTTTTTAACTAATGACTGTTCGTATATATTGGAACAACTACGTAACGTAAATTATCATCATACCGGATGTAGGTAATAAGTTTGATTTTTTTTTTAATGTACCTATTTGTTAGTGTTCTCACAAAATTACGTAATCTAATTTTTTTAATGATCTATTCAAAGTCCGATTAAATGATTAATTCATTATCTGCCTAGCTATATTTTTGTAGTTCAAAAGCGGGATGCGTGGATATGACGATGCTCCACCTGATAATTTTTTTCAAATAATATAAATATATTATTAATATAATTTTGCTCTATACTATTTTTGAGTCCCTATATCTGAACGGGAATAAAATAATATACTAATTGAGTCCGGGGTTAGGAAACTAAATAGTATATGAATATTTTAGGATTATTTTGAAAAAAATATAAAATCACTCAATAAAAATGTAATCTGGTTGTTAAACAATTACTTTAGCATGCAACATCGCACAATTATAAAATAAATGTTTATATTGCATTTAAACGTAAAGAACTGTTTTTTTTTTGCCTCACGCGGCAATGCGATGATGTTTTTATTATAAAATTGTAATATAATACAATACAGTTCATTATTTTTTACAATGACGCCGTTATTTCGGCCCTTTACACAACATRTACAAAAATGTTTTGTAATATATTTTCGTATTCACATACAAAATGAAACGTTGCTATATAGTTGAAGGGTAATATATTACTTAAATTCGTARGTTTAATGACTTCATTTCATTAGATACATTAAAACAACTATGAACCTTAAGTAAAATGCAAGACATATGGATACTCGTGACCATTCTGAACTAGATTGTTATGGTAATAAAGACGWTTTATGAATATATATCCGAGAAATGTTTTTATTTTTAACAATGCTACATGATAGAGTAATTTACATAATCATATTGTTATGACACACCGCGAAGTGGCTTTAAGAGAGCATATAATTTACTATTTCGTATGTATGAACTCTATTTAACTAGCTCTAAATATTACATATTAAAAAAGAAATTCCGAGAGGGGTTGTTCAATCCTCGTATATGTATAAGTTCGACGCAGTGTCGTAGGTGGCTATTATTATTATTATTATTATTATTATTATTATTATTATTATTATATTACTATTATTATTATCCTTTGGTGCATGAATACTGGTCTGGTGGGAAGTCGACCCATATAATGACTGCCATAGTCATCTTTTTTTATATGAATGTATATTAAGTATTTCGTCTTGGTGGTAACGAGCTCGCGGTGGGGGAGCTTAATATAACATCCACCAACGACACTACACCTACGAGCATTTAGTATATACCAGGGGTGGCCAAACCGCGGCTCGCGTCATAGACTTGCGGCTCGCATCTTATCGTAACATTAAAAAAAAAAAAATTTTTTTAATATGAATTTATGTATTTGAAAAAGTATAATATTTAATTTAATTTAATTTAATTATTAAATTACAGTGTATAGAAAAAAAWTTGTAAAAATAAAGTATTCTTGATATCATTGAGATTATTGTACAATTATTGTTATCTTATTCTTAACATTTTACATTTTATTAAATACCATGCCTTAACTTATCTTATTTACAATAATACAATATCATATATATAAATTATATAATAATATGACCTTTTTTTTTTACATTTTGGCTCTTCCATACTTATTAATATATTTGGTGGCTCGCAAGTATTTTCTCACTGGCCACCCCTGGTATATACCATAGATATACTGTTTATTGTATAACATGAGAAGGCCTAAACACGAATTTCATATATTTTTATGAATTGTAAGAATTGAAATCCTAAATTCTACTTGTGGAGCACGTCTTTGACAAAACAAACGTGTTCTCTAAACTAACGAACCACGGCTGATTGAACCCAATACAATGAATGTTAATGGGTTTTTTAATCGGATCAAATAACGTACACATGCCATTCGACCGTCACCAATCACCATTATAACGGTACCCATAGTCACATACCTATTCAAAGTTTTATGGCACCGGCRGGCTGATATTAAAAAAAAAACTGTTGTCATCCCTCCCTAAAAAAAAAATAAATAAATAAAAATAAAATAAATATATATAATATACTCGTCTCTGCTGATATTTAATATCAATGTATACAACTACACCTCTTATTAAAATAATAATGGATTATACTACCTAACTACACGTAGTAGATACTAACTRAGTATGAAAATAGAGTATCTATGGTCGGTACCATCGATTATTATCATGATATAATGACCAAAACGTTATTCAATCTGTACCAGTATTTTAATATGGCCGTAGACTTGAATGTTTGTAAATTCTATAGAATGCATGTGTTTTGTAAATAAATTGCACTAGCACATTTTTTTCTGCCTGTTAAGAACATTTAAATTCCATTGGTTATATAAATTTAAAATATAAAATAAATTTAAGGTCCAACAATATTATTTTTGGCCAATTAAATTTTTTAATTTTAAATTAAAGCTAAATTTGATTTTAATGACATATTTTCCGTCCCAATTCAAGCCTAAAATTAACTATGCAACGTAGTAAATATCATAGAGTTTGGTCTACCTGTGAATTTTATTTTTATGCCAGTGGAATTTACATGTTATAAACCTGACCCTAAAATCTACTACCTGTAGAAAACCCGTGGAATTTACATACATCCATTTCGGAGCRTAGTAGCCACAGAAGTCTTTACGTATTGGGACCCATATTTTCATCGTGGAAATTGCGGAACGTTTAATAACTTCTATTAAGTAACAGATATAAGAGACGAGAACCCGTGATATATAAATATTAAACAATAATAATTCATCGGCTTATATAGTGAACATGTATTAAGGGTCGATTACACTGAGCGAATTTACTCACTAGTGTCGTTGGCGAGCAAAGTCGCGCGTGTAAGAGCGTGTAGCGAGYGACATGTCCAATTACWTTGAGTGATTAAAGTCGCTCACTCATCTAGTCGCGCACAAGCAGTTACTATTTGCTGGCACACTAGCGATTTTGCCAACTAGGGCGATTACATTTAGGGATTTTACTATTTGGAGTGTAAAAACACCAGCGAATAGTGACGAAAGTTGCCCGGCCGTCAACTTTAATCGCTGGCGAGCAGCGAGTATTCAACACGCTTGCGAGTAAGCGACTAGACCGATTACGTTGAACGACTCGCAGCGAGTTAATTCACCAACAATTAGCGAGTAAATTCGTTCAGTGTAATAGACGCTTTAATGATAGAAATAAAATGTCTATTGAGTAAGTAACACAGTTGCAGTAGTTTCCCCAATCACTATCGGACAAGGAAGCAGTTGCAGCWGCAGTGTTTCAATATTATTTTTATATGCGAAGTGGAATACACGAGTTYTTTTTGTCACGTCCCCTACTCCCTCCGCACCATAACTAGGCGCATTCAAAACATTTCACAGTATAACAAGAAGAAGAATAACAATAACAATAATAATAATAATAATAATCTTACTTAGCCCGGTTTCAAGGTTGTTGGCCACAACAGTGATGAGTCATAGATGCCACGTGTCATTTTCCAACATCCCTTCCCYGCCATGAATAAACTGTGCCTACCGCGCCGCCGTCGTCGTCGCCACCGACACGAGTGAGAACAAACGGCCGCCCGCAATCAGCTATGCTTAAACGATAGGCGCAACGTACGGTGGTGGCAGCAGCGGTGGAGGAGGGAGTAGGCTATGGTTGAGGAAGTGGTGGCGGTGTACACATTTCGGATCACGACCACGACACACGCGGCTCGCCCGCCATCATTCGTACCACCACGCCATCGAAGTCCACACGTCCTATTGCGCGCCGACCAAACGCACCGTTCTATCAGTTCCACTGTTCACAGTGTTTTTCTGCTCACTATTTTCAGCTTGTTTGTCGTCTCACGTGCTCGGTGCCCGCGATTTTCAATCATGAACAAGTTGCCGCAACCACCACGGTATCCTTTGAATATGCACAACAACACGCGCCGTCGCTCCGTAACATACCAATCTTGTCCAAATGCAGGTAAGTGTAGTAATGTTGGTCTTCGCATTTTACAAAAAGTTATTGCTTTCCTTCTCGAGCGTCTTGACGTGAACTCTTGCCTGGAAGCTCTGTTTTCCTAGATTCACGAGCTATCGATTGCCGCAGCCAAAATTAAGATTTTCTTTCCTAATATAGCCGTAGTGTACCGAATCAGATCGTTCCGTTTGAAAAATCTTTTATAATATTAGATATTCTGTTTTCTGTGGCTTATAATAATAAACAATCATATAATATCTTCCTTCATCCTCATTATTTCTCGATGATCATTATCGACAACGACCTCACACTGCGATTAATACTAAATTGTTATGTACTTAGGTATTGTTGTATAATTGCTTTCAATACTCGCATGATCCATACATAGTATTATTTGATTATTATACCTACTATTTAACTTACGTATTGCTTTATAAGCATAAAACTAATAAACTAATTATATTATCCGATTTGATTTCGTGAATACTTTATAACATTTCTTTAACCAGCTTATTGTTGTGAAAAATCGTTTTAAATAATATTTGTTTATTTATGAAATGTCACTTAATTATAATAATCATATTCTTGTCTAACCCTACACACCCATAATTATATGTGCGTAAACCGTGAGGACAATTATCTAGTATTATATTATAACATAATGCAGCGTAATTAATACGTGGAAATGTTTGAATCATATTATGAAGCTTCGCGGGTAATGACTAAAAACACTAAAAAATTCGTAAAATAAAAATTGATTAAATTAATAAAGGTTAGGTAGGTGTCTATAATATTCTCAAAAATATTTCGTTGATTCAAAAAATGGTTGATAGTTTTTTTGAACCGAAATAATATTTTTTATCAATTTAAATTTAAATTTATGTTAGATATCTAGATATTTACTGACTATAATCTAACACGAGAAGATCATCAGAATATTTTAAAGGCGTTATGGCATTTTATATGGCATTTAAGTAGACTAAATCCGTCACAGATTTTGTGTTAAGATTTATACTTTGATTTTTCCATTAGAGTGGGTGTATGATTATATTTATTAAAATAATTTTACGACTATATGTATATATATATTTATTTAGGAGAATTCATAGTGGGACTTTCTCGTAAAAGCAGCGCATCACTAAACAAGACGYGACAGATCTAACGGTGTGCTTCAGAAGTTGGCTAAAAATATAAGATTTAGCTCATTATAATTATACGCATATCTGTGCCAACGTTTTTTAGCATGAAAAAGAGTAAAAACCATATATTATTTAGTGTAACAGCAGTCTTGAATGTGGATGCATATCGTGACAATCTAAAATATTGCATGAATAATTATTTTTTAATTTGAAATATAATATAGGTACGAGTATTACTGTGTCATAGCTTGATAATTATTTATTGCTTAATTCATATTTCTAATTAAAAATAAAACTGATGTGATTTGAAAGCTGTGATTCTCTGTCATTGTATATCACTAAATTACAACAAACAATATAATACGGAATTTGTATTTTCGATGTACTGATCACAGATATATACTAATATTATATATATATTATACATATTGCTGTCTTCGAATACACCACCACAAAATAATCTAAGACACGACGCGCCATATACAAAGAAGACAACTCGATAAATAAACGTTATCAATATTAGACTAATCAATATTATTCATACTATTGTTGTTAGTGTATCTGTGTATATTACTATATACTCTACTCTATTGTATATTACTAAATTTGCTCTTGAAACTCTCGAAGTTAGCTATGAATCTAATAATGTTTGTTTACCGAGAGTATTCTTTGTATATGCCGGCGTGTTTCACTGATAAGGAAAATGCGGCTATTTAGTACTAGTATATATCTGTGATACTGATTAATTTWATGATAAGTCGATAATACTGAAATAAGTTTACTAATAAATTTAATATGGTAGTTTTAAAGCTCCATATTTTCATGTTAACTTTGTTGTAGCTTATAGTGATAAAATTACAAAATATAGGAATGTTGAACTTATCGTAAATATACTTGACTATAAATTCAAATCTGTTTTTAGAATGTTTATCACATAATAATTATATGACCTATCATAACCTGCGCAGGCCCGTGAAGCCGTGGCTAAATCTCTAGGTTATTGAGTGAATCAAATTTTAATTTGGGGGGAGGGCATAAAATGCATACCTACTTAATCGTGAAACACCACTACATGTATGTACATTTGGAATTTGTTGAGGAATAACAATCAAGTCCCGGGGAGATGGAGGGCATTGGGGCTATACTTACAGTGAAAATAGAACACGTTTAATCTTCATTCATGTGTAATAAACAAAATCCGAAAACCAACGCTTTAAATCCACTGGATTTTAAAAGAGATAGATTTTCTAAAATTAATGCTAAGCAGATGTTAATCTATGAAAAAGTTACTGCGCACTATCACTATATGCCTTAATCACGGAGTTGACACAAATTTTCAATATTCTTTGTTAATTTCTTAAAAATTGTTCTCCTGTTTATATATCATATACCTATTTCCGATTTCAAACCTAGGCATATAATATTATATTGCGAATTATAGCGGTTATAGTTTTGTTTCTTTTGGTCGTATTATTGTGTAGGTATACTACATTATATATTTTACTATTAATTTACCTATGTTTCACACTTCTCTTAAGGTTTATACTAAATGAGTTATTATATTTTCTAACCATAAATTATAATCATGTTAATACAGTAAACGCAACATAGGTAAGCGAATTGTTTGTTAATGAGTACCACAAACTAAAAAGTTGTTAATGTGTAAATGTGTATTGTAAGTATTTTGGTTATAATTAAAAAAAAAATAATAAAACGCCATTATACTGAAATTAAATATTCAATTAAATTAAATTAAACAGATCATAGATTTGTAAAATATAGAAAACATATAGATATTATAATTCTATTGTTTTAAAAAATTTAATTTATGTAATTTCAGGTGCAAAAAAAGGCGTGAGCTTGTTAAAAGCAATTCCTGAATATACAGTAACCAAACTAAGGTAACTTTTACAATTTTTGATCTATAACAATATAAACTAAAAACATAATCTAAAAATATKAAGTGTTGTGCATCTTTAGCAACTATACCTTAAAATTAACTATAGTTATTTATTAAGTTTATTCTATTACATAGTAGTTTTAAAATCTTTGAAAAAAATATAATATTATTAGGTAGATTAAAATTCCAAAGAGTTTTGTAGGAAGGTACCTATTATATAATTATTATCCGAATCTAACCTAAGGTATCTATATCATAAAATATTCATAAAKAATTGAGATGGTCAGCAATATTAAAAATATATTGATTAGTAATCAGTGATTACCAACGGTGATGATATTTTTTAAATTCTGAACAGAGTGATGAATGTATTGATTTTAATGATGTGTATGTTTTTTTTGTGTCTGTGTACAGCATAACTAGTCGAAATAATGCTTCAATTTCAAACTTTGGGGATGGTTTCCGATGTCCGATGTAAATGTGAATATCCTTGGTGCATTATACGGGTCAAAAATAAACATTTTCCAATAGTTTTAAAAAAAATCGAGAAAAACAAAAAAAAAGTGACAGAAAAACGGGAATTTTTACGCAAAACCAGTTTTCGACCAAATCGATTTTTTTATATGGTTCTAATTCAAAAACTAATCACTGTAAATACTTGAAATTTTCACCAAATGTTTACGTTATTGTTATCTATATATATTTTAATTATCAAAAATTTTCGACTT